TACATTTAAAAGCAGACGTATTATGTTGAACTCCATGTTTGTACTAAAAATATTAACTGGTAATATACCTTCAGATTTCCTCATCTCATCTATTAGAATAAATATTTCCTACTAAATTCCTATTATGATGCGGATCATGGTGTGTACGCGATCCCTTCGTAGAGGGAGGTCGCCCCCTCGGTTGGCAGGGGTGGGAATGTGAGGCGTTGGAAAGTTCGAGAACACCCACTTTCCCCGCTGTACTGATACGGTAAGCCATCGGCAAACCGATCAAGTGCATCGCGACTATACGGCTAGGGACCAAATCTGGTTGACAGAATTGTAAGATTATCCAAAATTATGTGGACTATAGACACATTCAAGCCTTTTAAATCCCAAGGGCCAGACGGCATTACTCCCGCAATGATTCAGCGTGTCTCAGCGTCAATATCCACAATAGTGATGGAGATTTTCAAAGCTGTGTCTGTGCAGTCACTTATATCCCTAAAGCGGGGAAACCGAGTCACTCACTTCCTAAGGACTACAGACCGATACGTCTCTCATCCATCCTATTGAAAACATTGGAAAGGCTGAAAGACATAGAGATCAGATCTTTACTAGCCAAGACCTCCATCAGCACTGCTCACCATGCCTACATGAAAGATAAATCTGTTAAAACAGCAACATGATGTCGTAGGGCACATAGAGAAGAACATGAAAGGCTCCTTGTTCACCTTGGCTGCCTTCCTCGATATTGAGGGAGCCTTCAACAACGTCACGTTAAAATCCATTCATGATTCACTATCAAAACTTAGGGTATCCCAACTCCTCATAAATTGGGGAAACATCCGTCAGGAAAACGGTCACTAGGGGCACGCCGCAAGGTGGTGTCCTATCACCATTAATCGGGCTTTTGGTTATTAATAGCATACTCATAGATCTAGAGGGAAAAGGAACAAAAGTAGTCGCATACGCTGATGATGTCGTCCTATTGATTGCTGGGAAATTCTTGCAAACAATCTCTGTCCTGATGCAGGGAGCTCTAGTCACCATAAAAAGGCGGGCGCGTCGCAATGGACTTGGCGTGAAACCATCAAAGACATAGCTCGTCCTTTTCACTAAGAAACGTAAATATCCTTCATTTACACCACCGAGGCTAGATGGAGTCACTTTAAACCTCTCACCAGAAGCCAAATACGTTGGCACTATCCTCGACCACCAGTTAATTTAGGAAGAGGAACACTGAGGAACGAGCTAAGGAAGGCTTGATCGCACTCTATTCCTGTAAGAACTCCATAGGTAAAAGCTGGGGCCTCAAACCACACATCATTAAATGGATGTATGAGTCAATTGTTCGCCCCATTCTATCCTATGGAGCTCTAGTATGGTGGCATTCCTTGAAGAAGTCAACGACGCATTGAAAAAGTTCAGAGAGCCGCACCCCTATCAATAACGTGTGCCTTCAGGAGCACACCTCAAGCAGCACTGGACACCCTACTGTGCTTAAGTCCACTGAGCATACATGTTGAAGAACAGGCATTCAGGAGTGCTCTTCGACTCAGAGAACTAAACGAATGGCGCAATCAACCCTTTGGATATTCTGCGATTTTAAGACGTGACCCACCTGATATACACATACCTAACAGAGACGCCTGCGCCCATGACAACCCACCTTTCCGCGGCATAGCTGTTTATACTAAAGGCCCGAACAAGACGAATTGTATGACTTATGCTTTTTTCGACACACTGACTTTGTCTAGTCAATCATGGGCTATGTATTTGATAGGCAATGACAATCAACAACATCCCCCATTTTGATTCATGTGTGCCATTGCATAAGGTTCGATCGTGGCATGGCTGACTCGAATATTTGCATGGTGTTCTCCATAAATGCAGGGTGTCAACGATGACATCGAACCGTGTCATCGTCAAATTGTGTGTCATTTGTGTACGTGTGCTTAAATTGAGAGAGTGTGTGTGTTACTTTCGACGATGAGGGTGTGTTTTTGTGTGTGCTGTAATTTTGAAGTAACAAACACCGCGTAAATATAAAATTGAATAGAAAAAATAAAATATATACTGAACAATCCCAATTTATTGGTGATTATCATAAAATTTCGGTCATAAAAAAGAGGTAAAAATTGTTTGCCTATTTTCTATCTACATATAGTGTTCTTTTAAAATTAAAGTTTGTGGGCAGAGATTTGACTTTCATTCAATAACAGAATATGCATATAATTGAACAATGGAAGTATATAGTGTTGTTACGTGAATTACAGTAGCACACTCATTCTCATTTATACCTCACTACCGGAGGCAAACATTTATGAAATTATAATCAAAATAAGAAAAATTTTTAGGGGATTATTGTGTTTTAAAAAGTATTAACATTTTAGATTGTTTCGTCAATAACCACGATATGTGAAAATTTTGTGTGAACCAATTAGAAGTACCTTTAATATTTTAGTATTCGCCAAGAAATTCTTTATTACAAAAAAAATTATTTTTTCACATATCGGAAAAGCAGGTAGCGATTACGCTTTGCCTTTATCACGTGTGTGTCTTTTTGTATGACACACTATTCAACATTCTCTTTTATTGGTCATTACATGTTATGATGATGGGTTTGAGTGTGACCGACATGACAAGACAATGAGCATTCGGTTGGATGTCACGCACTGTTATGCGTTTGATCAAACAGGGCACTACGACGAGCGTTTTCTCTCCATGGCATAAATGGAGAAAATTGTCACATTTGCAGCCGTTTAGTTTATACCGACGGTTCAAAGATGGACTGTGGAACGGGAGCTGGTGTATTCTGTGATACACTTAATGTTCGTGAATCCTACAAGTTTGGAAACGACTGTCGCGTATTTCAGGCGGAAATTTTTGCGGTCAAAAATGCCACAGACCCGCTGGTCATTAGGAATACTGAGCTTAGCGGTCCGGTGACTTTATATGTCGATAGTCAGGTGGCACTGAAGGCCTTAAACTCCTTTACCATTAAGTCTAGGGCTGATTTGAACTGCATAAAAGCCTTGGAAAACACTGGGTTGTCCATCAAGCTCTGTCGGGTTCTTGGTCACTATAACATCCCAGGTAACGAGACTGCAGACGAATTGGCCAGGCTAGGATCCGAATCAACTACCATTGAAGTAGATAACTCGGTTAAATCACCACTGTGCCACTTCCTACAGGTTATTCACAGACATTACTCTGAGACAATCCAACAAAAGTGGAATCTGGCCCACGCTCTCACAAAATCGCTACTGTCGTTGTCGAAAACTGATCTAAAGCTTGTGGTGGGTATCATCACAGGCCACTGCAAGGTAAGGGCAATGACTTCGAAATGGGATAGCGACGACAATGACTACTGTGTGATCTGTCAAGATGAAGAAGAAATTGAGACACTTGCTTTGCCACTGCCCAGCACCCATTAATGTGAGACACAGGTTGTTGGGTGAACTAGTGTCACATGATCTGTTTTCTTTTTCTAGTACTGACCCTATAGTAATTCTACAATTAGCCAGAAGATTTAAGTGGCTAAAGACGACACGGCAACTTCCTTAGCCGTAGATCACACTCTAAAACTCTATCTTCTATCTCACCCCCTTCTATCAACCATTCCTTCCTTTTTTCTTACTATTCTTCTAGGATGAACACAATGGACCTATAGGTCGCCGAGTGGAGCGGTTACCAAATGGTAACTCTGCGTCCTTTAACCTAACCTATATATATAGGAATATACGGAATATAGGAAAATACGGACCTATAAAAAACTGTTCTGCCAGAGAATATAGTGCTCATTTAAACCTAAACTACAAACAAAGCTTTGGAAAATGTGGCTAATATCATCAAAATGTAGAATATCGGAAATACCGTTGTATGTGGAACTCGTTTGGACTCCAGCGTGATTACAACTGACTGACAGTATATAAATATTCTGATCAGCTACATATATACACTGTTGCGTCTCAAATATTTCCATGAGTTACAAACGGAATGACAGGCTTGTGTATATCAGTCAGAAATGTTATATGTAAATATAGAAGTCAATTGCTGTAGCATCGAAATACAAAGATCGAAGGTCAAAGTTATTAAACTCATCAAATACTACAAAGTAGATGGCAAACTTTGCATCCAGGTATTATAAGGGAATTAATATCTGCCAAATTGAGACAGACAATCAATATCAATTGAGGTCTGCAATGATGAAACTATGCCTATCAATGAACAACGTACATATGATGCCGATTTATGGAACATATTATTAAAATTAGTTTTGATATGGATTTTGGATCAAGTTTTAAAAAGTATCATATGCAGAACAACTTTCGCAAATATGGGGTAATAATAGACCAACCTATTACGGGTGGATGTAAATCTAATTTCAAGATTTAAAATGAAATGAAATGCTATAATAAAATTGATGCAATAAAATTTTGACAAAATTACCAAGAAAGCTGCTCGTATATAAATAAAAAAAATAGGGATTGTTACATATGTCTGCAATAGGGCACAAGATATGCTGATCCATAAGCGAAAAAAAAGTACATATCGAGAATCCACCACCGTAAGATTGATTATAGATATGATTATCACACATCCACTTTGTGTTATATGGCAAACCCATATAATGATGTATGATTTGCAAGAAAATATTTTAAAGATTAGATGTACCGCATCAGGAGTGGTAATATAAATGTAACCAAAGAAGACGTGACCAGATAATACCATCGATGTCATTACAGCTTTAAAAAGCTATTTGAAATCATAGGTCAATTCTGTATATAGCAGTTTTTATATTTAATTATTACGTGCAAACATAGGATATATGTAAGTGTTTAATTAGTCTCCCTGATAACAATGGAAAAAAATGTAAGCGTGCAACCGAAAGTGTTGCAAATGAAACCAACATATTGTCTGGTAACATGTAATCGTAATGAGCAATATGCAATCGTAGCAAATAAATTTTGAAAATTTGGTGTGAATATAATAAAGTATACTATAAGAAAACTTACCTTGTGGTTATCATACCAGTAGAGTTGTCGATTTGAAAAGTGTTGTTTAAATTCCCTTCCACTATATCGTAACGAATTTTGTTGTTTATATCTTTGTCCATATCAGTAGCAGTTACTTTCAACACTCCAATTCCTTCGTAAGAAGGTAAGTATAAGGTAGCATTCATTTCTTGCATTTCAAAAATTGGTGGACAGTCATTTACATTAACAACGTAAATAGTTACATGTGCTAAGCTTCTAGAATATAACTTTGGGCTTCCCTTGTCATTGACCTGTAAAACAAAATTATATTATTTCCAGCTTAAATAACGTCTTAATCACTTTCCACAGATATACAAAAGTAATGCTATGACATGAATATATTGCATTTTGTATTTAAAAAAAGTACCTTAAAAAAATGGAAAATTTGATACTAAATGAGCCACGATATTGTTCGCGAATTTTTTAAGAGCCTCTTCCACATCTTTTTATATGTGACTAATGTTAAAATTTGCTACCATTAAGTTCAAATAATTAATTAATTTTGTTTCCATAAATTATGTATGCGATAATAATCGTTCTTTATGCAAATTATCTTTTCATACTAAATTACAATTGCAGTAAATAAATATCTGTATTTATCTATACATGTAATAGTCTTTGAAGCTGCATTAATCGCATGCAGAAAGCTAACTTCATACGTAATTGATGTGTGGAATTAACATTTGTAAATAAAATGTACATGTCGCCATTTTATCGCTGGCAGATCATGTTTCTGAAGGATATTTTTATTCGCTCTTCCTTTTCCTGTCTTCAGAATTTAAATTGCTCAATTGCTATTTCAATTTTGAGAACCTCTGCATTATTTTGAGCTTTGTTCACTGTCAAATTCAATGCTGTAAATCCGTCATTTAACATTAAAATGTATTGAATTAACATTATCATAGAACCCAGTGTTACCTTTAAACCCCCCACCATAGTATGTAATCACATATATACATATATATATATATATATATATATATATATATATATATATATATATATATATATATATATATATATATATATATATATATATATATATATATATATATATATCTATATATATATTGTAGAGGAGATGCCAGTGTGCCAATCAGCATCCGTGATTGACGAGTATTGGAAAGTTGTGGTGGAACGTATCGAACTTATACATATATATATATGTATATATATATATATATATATATATATATATATATATATATATATATATATATATATATATATATATATATATATATATATATATATATATATATATATATATGTATAAGTTCGATACGTTCCACCACAACTTTCCAATACTCGTCAATCACGGATGCTGATTGGCATATATATATATATATATATATATATATATATATATATATATATATATATATATATATATATATATATATATATATGTATAAGTTCGATACGTTCCACCACAACTTTCCAATACTCGTCAATCACGGATGCTGATTGGCACACTAGCATCTCCTCTACAATTCCCTTGGCGGATACCGTAGTGAGCGGATCGCCGCTGGGTATTGGTTGTTGGCGGTTGGCTCACCTTGCTCTCATTGAAAGTAGTTGTAGTTGTAATAATATACAGACATGGGACCCTCAGCGGTCACTTGTCTCTATTTGCATATGTATTAGAAATAGACAAGGGATCCTCTGCGATCACTTATAACCTCTGCGTTCACTTGTCTTTGAGAAACGAAAGCGAAAGCACACGGCCTCTGTCGCCACTATCACATACCAAAAGGCCTCTGTCGCCACCCCAATTACTGAAGGTAATTTGTCGTCGTTGAAAAGAAAGATACAATAAAGCATGAATTTAATTTACAATATACTAATTATTCTTGTGTTTTATTTCTTATTATATTTTCTTTCTTTACACCACACGCGCGTAACACCCGCACCGCACCAAATCCCTCAACTACACACCTCTCACAACATAATAACTCTGGGGAGCTTTGTTGTTGCTACCGCTGTCGAAGCCCTTATCCCCACTCCCCTGAGTTAAACATTGGTCCTTCGAGCCAAAATTTGTTGTCGTTTGTTTGGATGAAGAAATCACTGGATCCCTCCCATCATCACCAAAATATTTGACTAAGGAACATGTACGTAAATTCAGTTTTCCATTTGAAGTGAGCTACCCGCGATTCTTAGTGCATATTAAAATTGTTTCGGTTTGGTCGATTGTTCTACAGTCCACTCTCGTCTTTCTACAAGAAAAGAATATTATTTGTACTGATCATCCAATGCCGCGGTGATCATACTTTTGCCTTTCGTTTAAAAACAAGTCAGTTGGTCGACTCGTGTTAACACTTCTTGCGTTAATTAAGTGCATTCCCCTATAACAAGTAGTTCTATCGTTGTGAAAATAATTAGCTTTCTTTGTACTGATCATCCGTCGTCGCGAAAAAATATTTGATGCTCTTGCTCTGCTTCGTTCATTATTTCCATTTCTAACTCTCATCTCAAATGTTGAACCCTTTGTGAGAATAGAAAGTGTCCCCCTCGTTGTTGCTCTACTCTCTCGCCTTAGTTGAAGAAAAATTTGCATCACCAAAGCATACATTCACATTCTTTTATATTTGGTCGTTTGGTTTATTTGTTGTTCAATTTCTCACCAACCAAACGTTCGCTGTTGTTATCCCCTTCACGTTTCAAAGGTTGAGCCCTTCAAAGAGAATTGTTTGTTTCTAATTACCAATAACAACACACTTGCAATAACAGTGCATCCATCTGTCGATTGGTTACTTTGTCGTCGTCACCAACGCGCATTTATTGTTGTTGCAATTCTTCTTCCTTTGTTTCTAACCATCGATCAATTCTCACTTGAGAACTTGCATTGCCAAAAATTGCAACAAAAATACTTCATCATTCCACGCGCCCTTTTTAGCGTCGGTTTGATATACAGTGAAAATAACAACACTTGCTTTGATCTCCAACTCTCACTGTTGGATCGTTTGTGGCGTCGCTTGTTGTGTGGGTGCGTAGCTGCTTACGCATAGTCATTTCTCTGCCGACGTCGCTTGTGTTTTATTCCTCTTTGTGCGATATCCGTTGTTGGTTCGACACAGTGGGGTAAAACAGTACAAATTGTGAATTTTTTGCAATTTATTTTAGAATTAATTTTTTGTTAATTTTGTGATATATTTTGGACTAGTAGTAGGGTTTTTGGAATTTTTGGACGAATTCACCCTACATTCGGCATTCTTTGCAGGCATATTTAGCAACATATATTGGTGATAATTAATCGATTTTTCTGGCTAGATTTGAAAAATTTGTAGATATTATTTAACATTTGGCTGAACAATTGCAACCTAGTAGGGTTTTTGAAATTTTTGGACAAATTCACCCTACATTAGGCATTATTTGTAGATATTTTCAGAACAAACATTAGTTGAAAATATTCGTTTGTGGCTATTTTCTTCAATTCTTTGGGCAATTTATTTACAGTTGTTGGTACTATTGGTGATCCTCTGTAGGGTTTGGTTATTTTTTTTTTAAGAATACACCCTACTTTCGGCATTCATTTTCTTAATTTATTGATATTGGAGCAGTTTTAGTAATATTTGTTACATAGGAAAAGATTTTCTTAATTTCTCTCCTATTGAGCCCTGCTATATCCTCAATATTTATAACTTTTTGAAGTATCTGAAGGTTTTCAGTTTAGGAAATTTGTCATTTCCGTTCAATAATAGCAACCTTTGTCTGATTTTCCTTACTTTTGCATACTGTTTGTATTATTTTTGTTATAAATTTAGTAATAAAATGTCGATAACGCCAGTTACTCGCTTTGTTAGAGCTTCTAACACACTTCTCAAATCTGTTGAATTCTTCGAACAGATAAAAGAATCTCAATTTACTATATGTAATCTCGAAATTCGAATTACGAAAATTCAAGAATTGTGGGATAAGGTCTTGCACACTTACACTGAGTGCAAAAACTACCTCACGGCATCCGAGACTGCACAGGTTGATAATTTGGATGGCGTTGAGGATAAATATAATAATTCATTTATCGCATACCATTGGTATTTGACCACAATTAAGCGGCATCTGGCTCGTCTCAAATCACCCGTCTATGAGAATTGTTCTGCTATAGCTCCTCCTCCTAATAGTGATAGTTTTACACCACCTTCAGGCTTGCTTTGGAGCGAACCTAACTCATCGGTTCCTGTGCAGTCTGTTTCTCCACCCCTTAATACGAGCTCCAAATCTCCCACTAATATGAGTTCCAATTCACCCTTCGATAATCATTGTTTCATGTTGCCACCTGTTGATATCGAAGTCTTTGCTGGTGATTTTGTGTCTTGGCCCACCTTTCGTGATTTGTTCACCACACTATTTATAAAGAATGTTCGTCTTTCAGACATTGAACGTCTCTGTCATCTTAGGCAGAAGACCACCGGTGAGGCTCGAGAAATCGTTTCTAGATTTCCACTCACCAATAGTAGTTTCCATTTAGCGTGGAAAGCATTGTCGGATACCTATGACAGAAAAAAGAAACTAGTCATTCTTTGAAAACAATTCAACGTGAAATAAATAGTTGTCTTGCTGCAATGGCCGTCTATGACGTCGCCACGGATCAGTGGGATCCAATTATTGTGTATATTTGTTTGCAGCGTTTGCCTTTTACCACCTTGGCTTTGTGGGAGCAAAGTATAAAAAATAAGTCGTTGTTGCCTTCCTGGCCAGACTTAGATGCTTTCCTCACAGACAGAATACAAACTTTGCTATGTATTCAGAGCATACATAACAATCCGCCTACAGCAAAGTCCTTGCCCAAAATTGCCTTATCCCCTAGTTTCTTGCCTAAATCGGTGCTATCAAAGAGTGTTTCACCTCGTCACTACTCAACTAGGTCGTTAGCATCAAAGCATGCTCTTACATCTAGTTCGGGCATTAACAAGTCTTTGGTACATGAGTCCAAATATATTTCTCCTTCTCCTCGGTCTACTAATTTAGGTCAAGACATTTATTGCCCAATTTGTCCTAACCAAAGTCATATTCTAAGACTTTGCCCACAGTTTAAAAAACTTTCGTTCGAGGACATATTCTTAATTGTGAAAAATAATGAACTTTGTATCAACTGTCTCTCATGTGGTCATGTAGTTAAAAATTGTCATAGCACAAATAGTTGCAAATCTTGCAAACAAAGGCATCACAGCCTTCTCCACCGGCCACAAATTAGTAGTTTTGTTGTATCACTTTGTTCAGAACAATCTCAGGTATCTGCAAGTCTTGA